AGAGTAAGGATTCTAATTACTATCCAGATCCTCTCACTTAAAGAAAGCAAGGGATTATTGAAATTGTCAAAAGTCCAACGTCGGTGAATGACAATTTTGAATGGGAATTTCACCTTATAAAAGGAGGTCTAATGTTTAGGATTTTAGTACACCTCTCATTTGCCTTTTATCTTCTTAAGGCATTTGTATCTTCTCTCTTTAGTATTATTTTACTTGTAATTTTGGAGTGGAANCTTTTTTATCTTCTTAAGGCATTTGTATCTTCTCTCTTTAGTATTATTTTACTTGTAATTTTGGAGTGGAATAAAATATTGATTGTGTCCGAGGAAGTAGGCAAAATTGGCCGAACCTCGTAAATTCTGGTGTTCTTTTATTGTTGTCTTATTGTCTTGTTTATTATTTAGTGGTTGTCATAATTTTTGGTATAGTAGTTGTGACTCATTCACGCTATATACATTTGGCTTGCGCAACAGGAATCATTTGCAGCTTGACAATCCAATCAAAGCAAAAAGCAACAACCCCGCCATACAATTAACAATAGTTCATGTGCGAATACTACCTGCTATAGTGCTCGATAATGTATGCAGGTCTAGGTTGTTTTGATGCTTACCATAGGTATGGGCGTATGGCTATTGACGAGTGTGGCGACAATCAAAATATTCACGGTGGATGTCTACAATTGAAATTTTTGATAGATTTGTTCAAAACGTGGGTAGAGTTTTCCTGATTTATTTTTGAAATTTTTATATTTTTATACACTATTTAAAACTTTATTACCCTTCCTATTCAAGTTTTAATTTAATTACATCCTATATACACATTTATCAATTATATACACTTTAGAAATTAAATGAGTATCCCTTTATATTAGGAATCAATTATTTCTCATCCTTATTTTCTCTCCCTCCTGCGCTCTCTCTCTCCGTCTCTCTCTCTCATGTGCTCTTTCTCTCTACGTCTCTCTATCTCTCAAACCGAGTGTACCTAATGTATCTCACCACAATGCCAATACCCACCAAAACCATATTCAAGGGCTCCCTTCTGGTGCATCGCATCAAAATATTCAGTTTTCTGACGACCATACATCCAATGTTTCTGATGTATATCGAGAGTCCGGGGATTATCGGGTGTAGCATCGTTCAACGAATGAGGAATGGCCTCTAAACCAGTTGCTAGCCAGCCCTCCATCTCAGAGCCTTCGAATTTGGATTTTCAAAAATTATTATTTGTTTGGATTGGGTATTGTTGCAAACAAATGGGAATATTATTTGGAGTTTATATCTCAATTTTGAGGGTGTTTTAGTGAAGATTAGACTTGATTTTGGCTGAATTTCAGATTGAAACTCGAAGAAGAAGAAGAAGAAGAAGAAGAAGAATGAAGAAGAAGAAGAAGAAGAAGAAGAAGAAAAAGACATGACATACATTGTACTTACGAAATTGTAGTAAAGTTGTAGTAAAATTATAGAAAAATTATATTCTGTTGTTTATATTTTTTTTTTATTTAAATATTGTATGATAGTTGAACAATATTATTTAAAAATTATATTTAAGTTGTATGATAATGTAGTTGTATATAACTGGGTAGAAATAATGTATGAAAGTTGTAGATAAGTTGTAGATAAGTTTTATAATATATAATTAGTTGTATGAAATTTATTTTTACTATGTATAAATCAGATACAAAATATACAAAGACATATTGTATAAAATTTATATAAAAATTGTAGTTAAGTGGTATGATATTGTAGGTGTATATAACTGGATAGAAATAATGTATGAAAGTTGTAGATAAGTTGTATAATATATAATTAGTTATATGAAATTTGTTTTTACTATGTATAAATCAGATACAAAATATACAAAAGACATATTGTATAAAATTTGTATGATATTGTAGTTATATTTAACTATGTAGAAATAATGTATGAAAGTTGTAGATAAGTTATATAATATATAATTAGTTGTATGAAATTTATTTTTACTATGTATAAATCAGATACAAAATATACAAAAGACATATTGTATAAAATTTGTATAAAAATTGTATTTAAGTTGACTCTTAACCAAAGGAAGTCAACTCATTTAAAGTGAAAGGAAACGAAAAAGAACAAAAAAGGAAGCAACTGAGCGGTCATTCATTGTGCTAAAGCTAGAAAACATTAGCTCATCGTGTTTAAGCTATCTAACGTAACAATAACCCAGTTTAGAATTTTACGTTGAATTACCCTGCATCAGCAGAAATGGAAATGAATTTTGCAGTCTAATATTATTATTTTTTTGACAAATTATTACCCCATCGAGTATGTTTCTAATAATTACATTAAATACCATGGAGTTCTATACCATTGTGCGAAGTCCTTACAAATTATTAGTAATACTAATAACGACACAAGACAGAAGCAAAGAACTAGAGATAGGGTGATGTTGGGAATGGAAATTGGCCAAACTCATTGGTAGATGCACAATGATCCATTTGGGCATAGCTATCTAAGTACCCAGCGGTGACAGGAATATCTACAAAATCAGAAGGCATGGTGATTTCTATATTTTGCCATGAAGTAGTAGAAGACGAGATATGGGGAGAAAGATAGGGTGATGGTACTCAAGATATGAGGGATTAGATTCTTTAAATCCCTAAATATAAGTTCAATCTGGAGAGAAGAGGGGAGAGAGGAGAGAAAAAAGGAAAATGGTGTAACTAAATCCTTTGATTGAAGTCACAAATAATGGATTGAGAGCCTTTTAAGGTGGATTGTATATATTTTGTAACTAAAATATGTTTAGATCGGGTAAATACCAAAACATGGGTATTTTTCATAATAAAGTTTCAAATAATGTATAAGAATGAAAAAATCCCTTTATTTTTCTTACTAGTTACTATTAGCCCGGCGATACCCGGGCCCAATTGTATAGTTAAGGCAATAAAGTTGTGCTACTTCATCGGCCTGATTCTATCTCTTTTCGTTCCATTTGAAGAAAGGAAGGATCCCAAAGAATCGATCTTTCTTTTCGTTGTTGAATCTCTCTTTGATTAATCAATGTGTGATATTCCGAATCCTCATTACTAATGGAATCCAAATGATCTCTGGATTGATCAGAAGATCCTTTCAATTGGGTAGAATTCGTTACTTGAATGAAACTAGATCTTGTGGAATCATATTGAATATTTGACGATACATTCTGTACCTTGATAAAAAATCGATCCTTGTTTACCAATNACCACACATTGTCTAACCAAATCTAATTCTCTCTCGATACGTTCCTCAAAAAATCCGATTCGGGCGGATTCTTCCCCCAACTAACGAAGAGATCTTGGCGGAATTGCCACATAGAAGTATAAGTAAAAATTTCTTTCAAACTCCACAAAATATTGTTGGGTATGTTTATCTCTTTTAAGTATTATTGGATTGACTCTACAAATCTAATCCAAATGAAATAGATACAAAAAATGGGAGAGTGAGCTTCTCTTCATGCATGAGCCTTTAACATAAAAATGTCCAAGATTAAGCAGAAAATATGGCAATTCATTCTTCAAATTTATTTCTAGTTTCTAGAATTATTATTAGTATATTATATGTAACGTTATTGGCTAGCTAAGGAAGGGCATTACTGTAGCTGCCATGCAAATTCTCACACAGTAGCTTCCTTGCCTAACTTTGTACCCCTCGCGTCCCCACGGGTTTCCATCTCCACCTAACCGTTTATGTGTGTATAATTTTAATAATTCCTAACATGCAATTTGTTATTTAGTTTTAATCTATGTGTGCCAAACTTTTTTTGGGGGTTAAAATTCCTCCTTTATTTATGTTGTGTGCATTCTTTAGCAAATTATGACATGTAATTTGTTTGAATTTTTGTGTGCAAAACTAATACTGTAAATATTAGTTGAACTTTTTCCAACAAGTTTTTGCTAAATAATTATAACTTAGGTAAATAATTTTAGTACCGCTTATACGAAAAGTATTTTGGACTTAACCATTATTAATTATATTTAACTTATTTGTTGTTATTAATAATTTAATATTGAAGGATCTTATATAGTTCAAATTTATGACTTTATAATTTGACATTTAATTACTTACATATGTATAATATCTCGAAAAATGAAAATACTTATAACAAATAATTTTGGTAGTTAATTCATATCTAAATGAATTAATTAGCACAAAAGAAGTGCTTTCACGTTAAAATCTATGGATTCCCAATTCTTTCACCAATTTCAAGCTATGAGAATTTAAAGAAATCTCCAATTTGTGGAGTTCTCCAATTGGGTCTCCAAATCTTTCACTAAACTTTGCTTCATCACTGTTAAGATTTTCTCTCATTTACTATTAAGATTTCAAATGCAACTAATATTTTCTAAAGCTTAAAAAAGAAAAAAGACTCCCGTTAATTTTGGGATTGAAATTCACAAAAGGGTCAATAGAATTGCTAGTAATTAACATGGTCATGCTACACTTTTGAATTGCTTTGAATGACCAGAGTTTGTGTAATACAACAAAACAAAGTTTGAGAATATATATATATATATATATCAATGCATCGCTTATACAACAGTCCACTAAAATGTTATAACTAAATATTAAATTTTAAATTGATATGATATACCTTCCAAATTATGTGTAGAGATGGAAGTGCTGTGGTCACAAGGCTGCAAATTGAGTGACACGTGAAAAGGAGGTTTAAGTGGGGTCTATGCTTTTAGAAGACTTCACTATATAGTCTGAGGACACAAAAGGAATTATACAAAGTGTGTTAGTGTGCCAGTGTTTTTGTTAGTGTGCTAGTGTTTTGCAAGGAAAGAGCAGCATGAAGTACAAGTCTTAAAGCATGAAGACTGCTGAAATACCAAAAATGTCCCTGGCTGGCAAGCTAGGATGCGCATTCTCCCTTATTAGATGGTATATTTAAAAGTAAATCTTAAATCAGTAATGGTGATGATCAGGTTGAAGCAATGGATCTAGTATCCTTTCTCCCCCTTTTACTTCTTCAACTAACAGTACTAAAGTTAATTATTAACATATGTCAAAGTTAAAGGAGCAATATCACACATTTAAATTGAGGACTAAAATCAGAATAAAATAATAATTCAGGGATCAAAAACGCTTTTGCCCTTAAAAGTTTTCTGGGCCCCAAAATTTTGGGAGCCTAAAGCAAAGGCTTAACCAGCCTCCCCTTGAGCTGCCCTTGGGTTATGCCAATAGATTTGCTCTCCTGCATAGCTTGTTGCTTGCTACGTACTATATTTCTTCTGTACAATTTTCAAGAACAGGGGGGTTAAGTAAAACACTATACACTTATCAGGAGTATCTTCCCTTCTCAATTCCTTCTTCTTCTTTTTTGGGTCCAATCAACGCAAATCCCTGTTTCTTCTAATGGTAATCATATTGCTAGTGTTCCTTCACTGACTTGGTTCTCATCCGAAGAATCTGGAGGCTGAACTTTGCCTTTATTCACCACACGAGAAAATCCATAGCCTAGAGAACTTCCACTAGTTTCACATAGCTGCAAAACAAAATCCCGTGGGCAGCATAAAATATCTGACAAAATCTGAACTATGAAACCTCGTACAACGTTCCAAAAGCTAAGACAAGTAGTGCATGTATAATTTACCTCTGTAAGCTCAGAGAGGTGGCGGGACCTAAACTCGTTGATTGTTGCCGCTATCTCTGACATTGGCAGCTTAGCCTAGAAGACACAATATATTCTTAGAATTTTATTTGCTTCATGATGGTTATAGATTGCCAAAAGTAGACTACAAGGAGGTCGAGACGCAAAATGCAGTGCGCAGCAAGATTATTGCATCAGAAGATCCAACAATTGGTCCTTTCCGTCAAGAATGTTAAAGTATACCATTCTGAAAGCCATATGCTATACCTTGAGAAAGCCATATGCTATACCATTCTGAAGGACTAGTGTAGAATGATACATGATGATAAGCTATTGAATCATCATCCATATCACTCTACAGTATTGGGACGAAACTTCTCAAATTAGAATTTGGTTATACTGATCAATTACTTACCAGCTTAAAAACTAAATCAGTCAAAATGAGACAAACAAGGGCCATCAATTTTCTTTTCTTTTCTTTTCTTTTTCCTAACTGAGGTGCTTATCAAATCTACTTTTTTGATGAAGTGGTGCTTATCAAATCCACTTACTTGTGCAAGGACAGCAGCGGCCAACTGCAGGCTTGGTTCCAAGGTCTCAGGCACAACCTGTAAAAGTTTTTATCCACCTCAGTTAATGCATTGTTCATCATTTATCCAACCATCAAATGTGCAACTATTTCCTCTTTTATGCATGATATGTTACAACTACAAAATTTTACCATAGCACAACATAATACACCAGCAATAAAACAAAATTTTCAAGACTCAGAATCCAAATGTTATCAAGAGATATACAGAATGCTAAGTGAAAAAATATGAACAAGTTTTCAACGAAAAGATCAACAGCAGAAATTAGAATAAGAAAGATACCGCTGTTGCTCCAGCCTTTTCTAGATTGAGGCCATGATCCACATCATGAGCACGTACAAATGTTTTCACATTGGGAAAGTACTTGCTCAAGGCCCAAACAGTTCTGTAATTTGCACCGGGAGTATCTAATGTTATTGCGGCAGCACATGCTCTTTCAGCTCCAACTTTATGTAGAACCTAGTAATCGGAACACAGAATGTCAAAATAAAATACCCGAAATGATAATCTTAAGTTCAGGAATTTGCTTTACCTCTCGGCTACCAGCATCACCAAAGTATACAGGAAGGTCAAGTGCACGACCAACTGCAACTCGTTCACTGCATTTATTATAGAAACATCTATTAAGATGAGCCTCAGGATATTCATGATAACTGATAACAATTGGAAAATTTAAGTGAAAGCAACATTTCCTGCACCCTCCGCCCCCACCACCACAAAGAAACCTTTCTTATAGATGCAGTAATCAAGTTAATACTTGTTGATGCTCTAATAATCAACTGCTGAATATCAAAGTACTCTAGAGCAATATGATGATAGTCACGATCCACTTACAATCAAAGCTCCAGCATATAAGGAAACTCTAGTACCCTTTTATGTTTTTGAGAAATTCATGTAACCGTGTCTACATAAGATACTGCATTCAGCCACACAATCCATCTTAGTTAAAGAGTACTATAGAGAGCAACATTACAAGCTTTGGATGGGAACCAACTTTGATTCTAATTCATATCTGATTTGCTATGTTGCTCGGACTCGGGTGCGGGTATCCGATCCGGGTGCGGATCCAAAGGTCGGATCCTTCATAATCTAAAAGATTTGGGGATACGGGATCCAGATACGGGTGAGGGGATTCGGCGAAAAATAATTCAAAATTCTAAAGATAGATTTATAAAAATATCCTAAATCATCAGGTGTGAAGATCCAGATACGGATACACATTTCACGAATACGGGTCGACTATTGAAGTTATGCCATTTCCCATGTCTTCAAATATGTACTAACTTTTATCTTGAGAAATCAAAGTCCCATTTTTTTCCTCAAACTTGTCCATGGATTGTGGTCAAAGTATCTGATGTCGGGTTGACCACATTCGGTATGAATCTCACACCCTTACCCTTACTAGTGTCATGTAGACACGGGTGCGGGCTGAAATGAGGAGTCCGCGCAACATAGCTGATTTGTGAAATAATCTAAAAGTTCTGTGAGAATGAACGGAAGAAAAATCTATTTTTTAACAATGATGCAATGAGCTCTATATATAATACATATTCTACTCCTACTACATATAGGACTAAGACTATTTACACATAACTATCTAACACTCTCCCTCAAGCCGGTGCATACAAATCATATGTACCGAGGTTGTTACATATGTAACTAATATGAGGACCAATGAGGGACTTGGTGAAAATATCTGCAAGCTGATCATTCGACATACAAGGCCACTAGACTCCCCCTGAGCAACAAAACCAGGTGGTTGCTGATAAACAAAAGTTGGCCGAACAGTTGCCGGAAAAATTTGAAAATAGTGAGACTAAGCCGAATTCCACACTACAAAATAGATTCTAAAACACCACCAGAATACACAAACTTTTTCTGGAATTACTGTTCATGCCGGAAAACCACTGTTCATGTCGCAAAAAAATAAAAGTTGTCAGAATTTGATGTAATTTATATGGGTAGGTTCGGAATCACTGGACGAGTAAGTTGTCCTGAGAAGTTTTGTCAAAAAATGGCCGGGATGGCTCACACGCGCCGGAAAAGTTAATGTAGCTCGCCGAAACCCTAGTTCTGGCGGCACGTGACTTTCTGCCGGAGCGATTGACTGGGGTTTTGTCGTCTTACTTTTCCGAACAAGGTGATAGTGTTGGTTTTCGCACAACACTTACCAATGAGGAGATAACGCAAATCAATCTTGAATCGTCAACCGGAAAGACGCACGGTTACTGACTTTTCTGTTCCGATGGGACTGGAATTTTTAGGGTTTGGTCGCACAAGGGTTTCAGATCTGATGGTGGTACTGGTATATGCATAGTACCATTGTAGCAGTGATGAACCCTGGGAACAAGACGAAATTGCCGGAAAATTGCACGGCAATGAGATCTTTCTTCCCGAATGTCGTTGGAATGACGCACAACGATAATTCTCACTGAAGCTCTGATACCATGCGAGAATGCACGGAAGAAAAATCTATTTTTTAACAATGATGCAATGAGCCAGTGTTTTTGAGAGTGAGAAGCGCAAAAAAGCGACAGAGGCTCCCCTCGCTTCAAAAGCGAAGCGCACGCTTCATTGAAGTGAAGCGCAATTCTTAAAAAATATAATGTAAACCTTGCAAAGACACAATATAAATAATCAAAAAGTTCAATTTAAAAACTCAAAAGTAGGTACCACCAAATCCTCCACAAACCATAGGAAAAGCAAAATCAAAGCTACTATAATATATATAATAATTAATTTTATAAACTGAAATACATATTAAAAAAATCAAATAAACTAAAATATAACACACACACACACA